CCTGGGGTTAATCTGTGTCCTTAATTCCAGTGGTATACTTTTTATGAAGTTATATGCTCCAGAGTTTGGTACGTATATGCTTTGAATTGTAACGTCTTCTTTATTAACCGTTCCCTTGATTAGAATGGAGAGCCTTTCTTTATCTTTCTAATTAGTTTTAATCTGGTCCATTCTGTCAGATATTAGAATGGCAATGCTTTCTTCCTTCCTGGTTCTGTTTGGAGTTCCTTTTTCCATGCTTTTACTTGAAGGTGGCACCTGTTTTTTAAAGCTAAGTTTCTTGTTTACCACTGAAAGACAGATTTTGTTTCTTAATCAGGTCATCAAGTCTGTCTTTTTTTTTTTTTTTTTTTTTTGGTTTTTTCGAGACAGGGTTTCTTTGTGTAGCTTTGCGCCTTTCCTGGAACTCACTTGGTAGCCCAGGCTGGCCTCGAACTCACAGAGATCCGCCTGGCTCTGCCTCCCGAGTGCTGGGATTAAAGGCGTGCGCCACCGCCTGGCTTTTTTTTTTTAATGATTTATTTATTTATTTATTTATTTATTACGTATACAGCATGTATGACTGCAGGCCAGAAGAGGGCACCAGATCTTGTTACAGATGGTTGTGAGCCACCATGTGGTTGCTGGGAATCGAACTCAGGACCTCTGGAAGAAGTCAGTGCTCTTAACCTCTGAGCCATCTCTCCAGCCCCCAAGTCTGTCTTTTAATGGAAGAAGTGAGGACATGAATATTGAAAGTTATGATTGAAAGGTATGTGTTGACAGCAGTTACTTCTTTTTCTTTTTGCTGTTTGTGTTTTTAGTTGTACTTGGTATTTCAGTAATTATAGCTTCATTTGCTTTCTTCCTACGCTCTCCTGCCTTATTCCTCTCTTCAGCCTGAAACATTGCTCCCTGCGTTTTGTGTAGGGTTGGTCTCCTGGGTGTTAATTCTTTCAGCCTCATTGGTTCATGAAAGGGTTTTCTTTCTCCTTCAATTATGGCAGATAGTTTTGCTGAGTATAGGAGTCTAGTTTGTCAGTCAGTATCTTTTAGAACTTGGAGTGCATTGCTCCAAATTCTTCTGGCTTCAAATTTTTCCCGGAGAAATCAGCTGTTATCCTGATGGGTTTTCCTTTATATGTGACGTGTGTTTTTCTCTCGTAGCTTTCAATACTTTGTTCTGGATACTCTGATATGTTGTAAGGAGTTTCTTTGGTGGTCTTATCTGCTTCTTGTATATGTATATTGTTCCTTAGTTTGGGGCATTTTACTTTTATGATCATGTCAAAGATTTAGTCTTTGCCATTGACCTGGAATTCTTCTCCCTTATCTATGTCTATAATTAGAATATTTGGTCCTTTCATGGTGTCCTCTGGTTCATGTGTGTTCTTTTCCTGTGATTATTTTTAAACATATATTCTTTGCTTGTGTAGTCTAATTCCTCTATCTCTGAGTCCTGATATTCAATCTTCTACTTGAGCCACTCCACTTCTGAGGCCCTCCCTTGAGTGTTCTAGTTGGTTTATGGACGTTTTCCATTCTATCTTCACTTCAGCTTGAGGCCTCACCAATGTCTCCACCTCTTCATTGAACTGTGACTTCAAATCTTGGACTTCTGTCCTTTGCTCAGCAGTGTGCTTGCTGCTTCTTGGACACCACTCAGGTATTTATTGTTATCCTCTTGACACTTAATGAGGTGTTGCTTTGTTTCTTCTTTAAATTTCTTGAATTCTTTAATAAGTTTTTTTAAAAGTATGTATCCTGGGGTTCATCTAGGTAACTGGAGACTAGTGTGGTTGAATGGAGACATGCTGTTTTGGCCATTCATACTGTTTTTTGTTTTTGTGATGTGAATTGGATATGTGGACTTTTTTCTTTGGTTGTGTCTGATGTAAGATTCTGGTATGCCTAAGACTGGACCTGTGCAGGACTATGTGACTATAATTAGGTTAGGAAAAGCTGGTGCATGAGCTTTTTGGACCTACGCCTTTTTGGACCACAGCCAGCCTTGGTCTGCAGCTACACTTATGGATTTGCAGGTAAGGGGGAGAGCAACAGGAGGGAGTCACCAGGTAGAGTCAGAGCAATGGGTCTTGAGGCCTGTGAGTGTGGAGATGGCATAATGGCAGTGGGATAGATGGGAGAGGAAAGAGAGACTTACCAGTCAAAGATAGCTCAAAAGCAAAGTTGGTTCATGGATTAAAAGCCTGGGTTACGAGCTGCTGCTGAGGGCCATGTCTGAGTCTGTGTTCCTACTGCAGCTGGAGTCTGTGATGATGTCCATGGCCCATGTTGCAACAGGGGGTCATAGGAACCATGAATATTTAAATCGAAAGGCCATGCAGAGCCAGCCCTGCCCCTCATTGTCCCTGGGATGGCTGATCCTGCCCTTCATTGGACACTGCAGCAGGAGAGCTGGCCCCACTCCCCACAGGAGAGTTGGCCCCACTCCACATCACAGGTGTGGGAGATTTGGCCCCTAAGGCATGAGCCTAGGAGGGCTGGCTCCACACCTCCCCTGAGGTGGGCAGTGTTGCTTGAATTCTAAATTGGTCTTATAATAAAAACCTGGAGCCAGATATTGGGGTGAACGCTGAAAGATCAGAGGAAACAGAGCCAGATATTGGGGTAAATGCTGAAAGATCAGAGGAAACAAAGGAACAAGCCACAGCAACTTCCCACCTCGCCAGCTCCACAAATCCTCTGACTGAATGCCTCTGAGTCCTCAGCCAAAAAAGCTTTGAGTTCCGTCTCCTCACACCTTATATGCCTTTCTCTGCCCAGCCATTTCACTTCATTCCTAGTGCTGGGATTAAAGGCGTGTGACTCCCAAGTGCTGGAATTAAAGGTGTGTGCCACCACTGCCTGACCTCTGTGGCTAACTGTGGTTAGCTCTCTCCTCTGATCTTCAGGCAAATTTTATTAGAGTACAACAAAATATCACTATAGGCAGTCCCAGTGGCCCAGACTGACCAGCTCAGCTACCACCCAGACCCACATCCTGGGCCTTTGATTGCCCCACGCTAACATCTACCCCATCTATGACCTGCTGGAGTGTGTGAAGGGACTGGTCCTGTGGAATGGTAACCACAGGATCTCCATGACTCAGGGCAACAACAGGATATCTAAGAGGAGTTTTGGTGAAGGTCCAGTAATGATGGTGTGCCACAGGCCTTGAACCAGACCAATGACTCATTGCAATGAACAATTTGTGGGTGGGGCTGATTGGACAAAAGGGTATTCTTCATGACACACTGCAGTACCCAATGCCACTAGGATGAATGAAGAGGTGTTGGAAAGACAGAGGAGCACGGTGGTTTTTTTTGTTTTTTGTTTTTTTTTGTGTGTGTATGTGTGTGTGTGTCTGTGTTTTGCTTTGTTTTTAATTGATTGTTTTGTGGGAGTTTCTTGGCAGGGGGGATGGTGTAAGGGATGCTGCAGATGGGGGAGGATGTGGAGACTGGAATGTGAATGGGATTGGGGTGCATGATGTGAAATTCTCAAAGAATCAATAAATAATTATGTTAAAAAAAAGTCTAGGGCTAGATGCCTGATAAATTGTGACTTTTTGTTGCACACTATTTTTGGATGATTTTAGAGCAAATGGTCTAAATTCTCAATATAATGCTAATATTTCATTCCAGATAGAAGGTCAGAAACTCAAGAGGTCCTCTCCTATAACACAAGCATCATCTGGCTGTGCTTATTTATGAGAATTAAGTACTAGAGAACAGACATAACTCATGATATTTCCTTGTTACTGCTTTAGTGACTCCTGGCATTGATTCAGGATTCCCATGCCCTCAGACTAAAAAGATAACTTTAAAAGTTCTATTTGTGTATGTGTCTGTATAAGCATATGAACATATGTGTCTACTTTCTGCTTATTCTTTTGAGGTACAGCCTCTCCCTGAACCTGGGGCTTACATTTTCTTGGCAAGGCTGAAAGTCAGTAAGCCCCAATGATCTTGTCCCTGCTCCCCTTGGATGTAGGGTTACAGGCAAGTAGGGGATGCCCAACTTTGTTCTGTGTGTTCTGGGATTGGAACTCTGTTCTTTATGATTGTACAGCAAATGGTCTTAACTACTGGGCCATCACACTAGCCTCTAACTTTTATTATTATTATTATTATTATCAGTTGTACATCAGTGTTTATTGAAGCATTTTTTTTTCACAATTGCTAAGTAACCAAACCAATGCAGGTATCCAACAACAGAGAGAGACAGGAAAATGTGGTAAATATATACAATGGTATGTTTTTCAGTCACCAAGAAAAATGAAGTTATGTCATTTGCAAGAAAATAGACACAAATGGAGATAATCACATTAAGCAAATTAAGCCAGTCTCAGAGAAACAAATATGTTCTCTCATTTTGGGGTCCTAGATGTTATATAGTCACATCAAACCATGTATGTACATATAAAATAACAAGAGAAGTGAAATTGTCCACAGGAACAGAGGGGAAACAGGGATGGGTAGGGATGAGCAAAGAGAGGGTGAAGTGGAGTATGCTCAACATAAAATGCATACCTTTATAAAAATTAAAAACTAGATTAAGTTAAAATTTAAAAATAATAGTCTTAAGATAACAGCTCGCTTTCTACTGGTCAGTGTGCTATTTATAACCATCCTACTCCATCCTCTGAATTAATGAAAGTAGAAAATATCAATCCTGGTTTACAGACAGGAAAACTGAGGTGGAGAGAGAATAAGGAGGGACCCAATATCGAGAAACTAGTCGGCATCAGAGCTGAGAATTCGGCTCTATCTGAAGCAAGTTTCAGAGCTGTGCTGGGAAGGTAGAAAAAGAGTACGGGACTAACTTTGAAGTTCAGAAGTAGGGTAAAAGAAGTATTCACAGTTCAGATAACCAGTCATTCACTTGAACTTCCAAAGACTGCAAACTGTCTTCCCCAGGGTTTTTATTTGCATAATGTGTACGGAAAGGACTTCTATGTGTCCAGTGGCTGAGAGTCTGAGAAAAGAGGGTCACCAGTTTATTGTAATCTCATAGCATTAGAAAATTACTTCCTGAAAATCTCTCATTTTGTCAGTGTTAGCAAAGGTCAGAAAGATTTGTTCCAGGGTTACTTGTTTGACAGAATAGTCTTCCAGATTGAACAGCACTTTGGCTTCCTCCATAATTTCAAATACCTTGAACAAACAAACAAACAAACAGACAGACAAATAAACAAAAGGCAAAGTTACCACCTACCATCTCTAGGTAACCCTTTCCCACTCGACCTTCCCCAGCCAGGACACACAGCAAAAGGGAAAGATGACTGAACATAAGAAACAGCTATCCTGCACCCCGCTCCCCATTCTGCTTACACACGCTTTTAGACAGAATCTCTACATGTAGCCCAGGCTGGACCCAAATTGGAGATTCTCTTGCCTCAGCCTCCAGAGTACTGGGATTGTAGGCCTGCCCATCCATGCATACCTAATCATCCCCATTCTCTTGCTGAACATGACATAATATAATCTGGGGGTCGGAAGATTCAATCAGATAAATTCAGGTGGCCTTGGAAAAGTAACTTAAAGTTTCTAATTCTCTGTTAATTGGACTCTCATCCACATGCTCAAGTCCCAATGTTTTCTATTTGCCCTCTACTAATAGGTTAGACTGGCATGAATTTGACAACCACCTTTCCCCAGCAGACTTCCTTGCTTGGAATATAGTAGCCAATAATCCCTTGAAATTCCTGGTTTTTGATGTTACCTAAGAAGAGAAAGATTTTTGATAAGTTAGCAATGGAGAGGATAATAGTGTTTCTTTTTAATAAAAATAAAAGATACAGCATTGTTTTATAGTGTTGACTAGCCTGGAACATGCTATATTGCCCAGGATGGCCTGGAACTTAATATGTAGCTCAGGCCGATCTTGAATTTATGGCAATCCAACTGCCTCTGCTTCTCAAGTTCCAGGATTACAGGTGTGCATCACCACACCTGGCTTTGGATCCTACTATTTGGTAGTTTTGAAGAACTCGTATGTAATTTCTATTTCAATTGTCCACACAATGGAAGAGAGAATATGTGCAGTTAGTACAAAAGATGATATAATCCTCAAGATTAATTCCATTATTAACAAGGAATGACATTAATGTATCAGTAGATTTACTTCTCCATAAAATACTGTCTTATTACCTATAGTTTGAAAAATTGCAGGGGGTTGGCTAATTACATCTGGAAAAATTGGTAGCTCACATGATCAGTTGCAAAACCTGAGATTTATATAAATTCTTGTGTTTGGTAGCAATACTGTAGCCACTTCTAATTAGTAGGATGCATTCATGTTTATTATTATATACTGGAATCACCACCAGTGGAATTAACTGGGATTAAAATGTTTTAAAGACAAGCTAAAATAAATGTCAATAAGAATGGAACTTGTCTTGTAATGAATCCATACAGAGAATTAAGAGTAGTTTTAAAGTTTTCAAGTATTTTAGTGTGAAATATATTAAGCACACATAAATCAGAGAGGACCACTACTAGGAAGAATTTATTATTTTTGGAGGAAGTATGTCATTGAGCAGAGGCTTTGAGAGTTCATAGCCTCACTATCCTTCCATTTTGCCTTCCTTGCTTTGTGTTTGCAGTTGATGATGTAATCGATTAGTGTCCTGCTCTGACTGCTGCCATGCTGTCCCAGTCATTATGGATTTTAACTCTCTGAACTGCAAGCCAAAACAGACTTTCTCCTAGAAGTTGCCTTACTTATAGTATTTTATCACAGTGGCAGAAAGTAACTAACATATATAACTTGGTGACTCACAGTAGAGTTAAATGTAACCAACACTCAACACTCTAGATGTCATCTGTGTTGCAAGCAGACTCATTTTCTCTTCCTTTGAGGCAACCACTTTCCCTAGTTTCTAGGGTTAAGCATCTCTTAGCTGTTCTTTACTGTATTATTGCTCAAGAATGGACTCCTAAATATAATTGCTTTGTTTTGAATCCTCTGTGCTTCACATGATGGCACACATACACTACATATTCTTTTTATCTGTATCTTTTCACTCAAATATGTTGTCATCCGTAGCCATATATTATTACTTTTCTTTACTCCAAATTTCTAGTGTGTAGTTATTTCTCCTATTGTGGGTATACAGAAGGATATCTAGACTTGCAGACTGTTTCCACCACACAATGGACTTGTATCAATAGGTAACTGCAGAAATAACAGAATGTGATTATTAGCCTAGTTCATAAAAGGCAATGTGTTCTTCATCTCAGTGTTATTTTATGTGAGGGAAGCTGGCTACCACAGTGTGATGACAACATTTCCATGTAGCAGGAAACCCAACAGCCATATCTCTTTCTTAGTATATCCTCCAGGTCCAATGAGACATCAAATGATTTAACACCATGAGAGACCCTGGACCAGAAACACTCAGCTAAGCCATGGAAATTATGAGATAATAGGTTTTACTATTGTTTTAGAATATTAATTGTTTTTTTTAAAAAAAGATTTATTTATTTATTATGTATACAGTGTCTTCCTGCATGTGTGTCTGCAGGGCAGAAGAGGGCACACCAGATATCATTACAGATGGCTATGAGTCATCATATGGTTGCTGGGAATTGAACTCAGGACCTCTGGAAGAGCAGTCAGTGTAGTGGGTAGCCATTCCAGCTTTGGTCTGGAAGTTCCAACCCCCATTGAGGCTTCGGTAACTATCATGCCTACAAGGTGGGGCCAAGAGAGAGCCTCGCATCCCGATCTCTCAGTCTTAAGGGCCCTCCCTTGGCCCCGCCTTGTAGGCGTGATAGTTACTGAAGCCTCAGTGGGGGTTGGAACTTCCAGACCAAAGCTGGAATGGCTACCCACTACATAATAAGACTGATTCAGATGAAATAGTTTATAATGTATGTAAAAATGTACATAGGCTTAAAAGAGAGAAAAAAAGAGAAATATATACAGTTATATAAACAAATAGATAGTTTTTAAAAATAAAGTCTTTAAAGAAACATTAAAGGTAATAAGCCACGTAAAGATGGCTATCACACAGAGAATCTGGATTATGTTCTCTTTGATATTTGTAACTAAAGAAAAACATTTGATTGTAAAAGCTGTTGAGTTATGCCAAAATGTACATTTTAAAGGTACCTTGACTTCAAAATTTAGATATAAGGATATGTTGCTTTGGAAAAGAGTCTCTGCTTTTGTTTCCACAGAAAGCCAGAGGCTATGGATTTGTTCCAGATTAAGATACATCAGGTTTGACCAGCCAAGACCCCCTGAAAGGTCTCCAATGACACCATGGCCCAGATGATCCAACATCCAAAACGGTTTCAGGCAACTGGCTCAGACGATACACCCTCATGGACTACTCCATAATCCTAAAATTTTCTTTGTGTCCCCATAAGATACAGCGCCCCCTTCCAGCAGGAAGTAGTAAGAAAAGCTACGCTCACATTCCCAAATATACCAAGCTGGCTTTAGAGATGGAATTGGCTCACTCCCCCTCTAAAGCCAGACATATTGCTTAAAAAAAATGGTTAAGAGATTCTTGTGTCCCAAGTCAGAAGAGCCCTCTGGTGTGGGACAGAGAAAAACCAATATTTTTATTTAAAACAGGTTGATTATAAATACAATCTCTTTCTAAAGAAAAAAAGGGATAGTTTAGATATGATAGGATGAAAGGGTAGATTAATGAACCTACTTTTAAAGAGTAACAACTTGTTTAAAATGTTTTACATTGCTATAGATTTTAGTTTATTGATACAAGCTTAAACTTAATTTTGTTATACTGTATATATATATTTCTATTCTTGTTTGAGGTATTATGTTTATGTAACTCATTTAAAATTGTAATGGATAATTAAAAAATAGATTAATAATTAGTCATCTATGATAATTATATTTGTAGCCATGTTAGTTAAGTCCTCTAGGTATGCATAGATATATTTCAGATAGGTAGGTAATCTTCAAATACTTCAAAGACCTACAGAATATGGCATTTAAAATGTTTTAAAAATTTAGACTTTCTGGACAGTGAGACATGTCTGCTCCTGACAGCACCGATTTACTTCAGAGAGGAGGATGGGCATCGAAGACACTCCATATGGAGTTTATCTTCACCTTGGCAAAAATAGCCATTTGGGCAAGAAACTGTTCTTGCCTGGACTGCTTGATCAACTGGACATGCAGGACCCATAGGAAGGTGACCACTGAACTTTGCTTGACAAAATGGTCCTTCAGGTTCCTGCTTTGCAGAGGAAACTGCCAGACATTCTACAGGACACAGAGAAAAGTGACTGAGAGACTCTAGGCTGTGGGCTGAAGACAGATGCCCCAACTTTACAAGAGAACTTTGGATGAATGTCCAGGCTGTCAGCTGTCTCTGTCTACCCTGCTAGACTCCTGAAAGTTGCTTGCATCCTTCTCCCATTTCTCAGGTAGTATTATATCCTTCTGAGGTCTTTGATGTGGTTAAAGACTAGATATTTACAATTTTCCTTAGTTTTGATAAAAGATAAGTTAGATATAAAACCTTAAACTCACAAATATAAGATAGATAGGATATCTTCTTTAGTATTGTAACTGTAATTCTTGCTCAATAATTGTTTTGTTATATGTAATTTTACTATGTTAAAGTTAAAACCTTCCTTTTTAAAAAAGAAGAAAAGGGGAAGTGCTGTGGATATCGCTCTATATAAATAAAACACTGATTGGCCAGTGGCCAGGCAGGAAGTATAGGCGGGACAAGGAGAGAGGAGAATTCTGGGAAGTGGAAGGCTGACAGGGAGAGACCTGCCAGCCACCACCATGACAAGCAAGATGTAAGGTACTGGTAAGCCATGAGCCACGTGGTAACTTATAGATTAATAGAAGTGGGTTAATTTAAGATAGAAGTAGATAACAAGAAGCCTGCCATGGCCATACAGTTTATAAGTAATATAAATGTCTGAGTTATTATTTTATACATGGGTTGTGGGACTGCAGGGCTTGGTGGGACCTGGACAGAAGCTCTCCAGCTACAAGTCAGTGCTCTTAACCATGGAGCTATCTCTCCAGTCCTGGGTAATCTGTTATATAACAATAAATATATATTCCAGTTTGGAACCATTACATATAATTTTGATTTGAACATAAGGGTTCAATAAATATGAATAATTCAATGAAAACTATAATTGAAAACATGTAGAACTGTGAACATGACTTAACATAATAGTCATGAATCCATCATACCTATGTTACCTGGGAAAGTTGTTTGAATGAACTTTTTGAACTCTGCTACTTTATCTTCATCCTTAGCAATATTGATCTTTACTGTTAGGGTGTATACATGACCAAACCTCTTTCTGACATGCTGGGGGCTGCCGAGGCAGGTGAACCTCCCTTTCAGCATGATGGCCAGCCTAGTGCAGAGTGTCTCACATTCTTCCATTCTAGGAGGAAAAAGAAGACATGTCTGAGGACACTCTTCCAGAGAATAAATTCAAATAGCTAGGGTTGGAAGACTTAGAACTAGAAGCCTTGGCATTACAGATGGTCCACTAAGATCGTATTTGGGAAAAGGAGGACATTTGGAAATTTAAAGCAGTCCCTATGTAAATCCTCATTAAGTTACCTAGCTAGTGTTTTCTCTCAGTTCTTGATTCCATCAGTCAACTGAGCTCTCATTTAGCAAGTCCATCCCCAGTTACTTCTCTGAGGTTCTACCTACTCTTATGTAAGTTGACTGACTCCTCGTCCTGGCTGAAATGAATTCTAGCCCACACTCATTGCAGCTCCTTCTAGTTTCTGACCGAGCCTCCAATGTCTCTTACCTGTGAGAAGTTATGATGATAGCTTTACCGGTCCTACAGATCCATGTAACTGTGTCCCACAGCAGATGCTGAGCTACTGGGTCCATGCCAGTGGACGGCTCATCCAGGAAGACAACCGAAGACTTTCCCATTAGGGCAACAGCGGTACTTAGCCTGCGTTTGCTTCCACCACTCCATAATGTGAGGAAGAAAGAGTAATATACGTCATTAATTCATAGGAGTATCTGCACATTCAGAATTCTGTGGTAGGACTCAAAACTGATGATTCGTGTGTGTGTGTGTGTGTGTGTGTGTGTGTGTGTGTGTGTGTGTGTGTCTCCATGGAGATATAGGGGCTCTTTTTTTTTTAAATGCCAAGATTGTTCAAACATGCAAAAGGCTAACACCATCCAAGTGGGATATGCTGTTTCCTGATGTCTGAGCCTTGGCAGAGTGCTAGGTTATTTCACAGTCACTACCTCCATGTGCCAGAGAGGTAGCAATGGGCTTTGTGGGCATTCATTTGAAACAGCAGAAGCACAGGATAGGTCACCTAATAGCAACGATACAATGTCTCACCTGTATGTGTAGATAAACTGGTCAGCAAAGTGTTCCAGGTGCACTGAATGCAGAAAGGTTTCCACGTACTTGTTAATGTCTTCCTCTGGGACCCCCCACAGCCTCGAGTACATGATTAGCAGTTCCCGGCCTGTCATGTAGTTCAGCACAGATTCAGACTGAGGACAGTAACCAATTCTTGACCTAATCTGAATCAAGAGGGTAATTATGAGCAGTTAATCCATGTCAGCTATTCTGTGGAGCATAAATCTCATAGGGATGAGGTACACGATATGAAGCTATTTAACTCACACTACTGATAACTCTGATACCTCTACAACTCCCACTAAGAATGGTTTGTTCTTTCACCTTCAGCTGCTTTACAGATGGAGTTCAATGAAGTAAAATAAGGCGTCAGTATCACTAGCTGGAGTTTTCAATATATATGTACATATATATGCATATTACTACTATGTGCCTTGAGTGTTTGAGAGTAAGCTTTGTTAATATTCTAATTGAAGTATTTTGTTTATAGCAGTGGTCAGGTAACTTTTGTCAGATCAGCTCTCTCACAGACAGGAATTATATGTTGCCTATCAATATACTTATACAAAGTACATAGGAGAATATATTTTTTAAATTTATTTTTATTTTATTTGCATTGGTGTTTTGCTGCATGTATGACTGTGTGAGGATGTCAGATCTTGAGTTACAGACAGTTGTGGGCTGCCATGTACGTGGGTGCTGGGATTTGAACCCAGGTCCTCTGGAAGAGTAGTCTTAACCACTGAGCCATCTCTCCAGCCCCAGGAGAATATATTTTTATGTATTTAGCCAAGTTAATGCTCAAAGAATTAAGGCAACATATCACTTCACGACTAATGTAGAGTAAAATTTACAGTGTGAATTCAGCCATTTCAGATGCCTGTCAAAATACTTAAAATTCTTTGAAGGGATATAATGGAATTAAAACTCTCCCAATGCATTATTAATAATATCCAGAATATAATCTAAAATTAATTGGCAAAAGATGTATGCAAATGACCCGCACTTCAGTGAACACAGTAGAAACAGGCACTCACATAGCCACAATACTGGAATAATCAGATACAAATGGGAAAGAAACTCTTACAACTATGCTTAAATGAGGATAATGAAAAAAGGCTGTAATTTAGATAAGTAAGAAAACTTCATAGAAAACGAAACAACAACAAAGAAACAAATGAAAATTTCTGAGCTAAACCTTTTGGTTGAGGGTTGGAGAGGTGGAATAGTTGGCAACATGTTTTCCATTCAAGCCTGAGGACTGAAGTTCAGACCCTTAGCTCTCACATAAAAAGCTGGGTATGCCAGTTGGTGGGCAGGTAAATCCTGAAGGTTTGCTGGCCAGGAAACCTAGCCAACTGGTGAGCTCCAGCTTCAGTAAGACACTCTGTTACAAAAATTAAGGTGGAGAAATGACTGAAGAAGATACTTGACATTGACCTCTGGCCTTTCCAAACACAACTGTGTACATGTGTACCCATACACGTGTACATTCATATGAACATGTATGCACAAATAAAATAATTATGTCAGGAATAAAAACTTGATAAAATAGAACTAACATGAGGTTGGATGTAATTTGAAGATGAAACAATATAAACTAATCAGCATGTGTATGTGTACACTCATTCAAATAGAAAATATGTAGGAAAATGAAGAGAGACACAGGACTTCTGGGGTGCCAGATCAAAGGGATGAGCATATGTAGAAACAGATCTAGGAAGGGACCAGAAAGAACAGGAAAATGTGTATTTTTTTGAGTGTCTCTGAACTGAAGAATTGTAAGAAATTAATAAAGAAAGTGTTAACAACTAGGAAATGTATAAAAGATACAAATAAACTATAGGAAAGGAAACTGGTATCTTTTAAATATTTCCTAAAGTTATATAGTTCCACTCATAATAAAGGAAAAGAAAAAACTGCTTAAGTAGTATTTTTAAAAATGGATCATACTAAAAACAAAAAAGAAAAGATGGGTCAAATATTCTGTTGTGTTAAGTGCAGGGGAACAGACACAGTCACACACTGCCAATGTGCAAATTCATATGCAGGGAAAGCGTTTGGTAAAGCTGAGAAGATGGTGTACGATACACAACCATATTCCAGATAAAATGAAAACAGACCCTTGTAGATGACTGCATAGGAAGGATGTTTGTAGAATGATAAAGTGGTTACTGTTTTTTGCACTTAGGAAAGAATGAAGTGAAGTTAGGTTTAAGTTAGCCTTGCTAACTGTACACTACTTACACTGTTTTCATTTATGCCTTAAGTAATGAATACCTTCTTTGTTCAGTTTTTGTTGCTATATATTTTTAGAATATATATATTTTGCCCTGCCTTGAGGTAAGTATGCTCTAGTTGCTAAGTTACAGCTCTGTCTTGGTTATCTATTGACACCCCAGGTGTAATTCTTCACTTTCCCTTGGCTGCACATGTGGCTTTTTTCAAACCTGTATATACATTTTATCTCCCAAACCTGGCTTGTCTATGTGTCACACCACTGTACTAGGCTTCAGAGAACTCCACTGGACACTTTTTTTTGCAATTAAACAATATTGCAGTTTATCAAAAAACATAAGAAATTTCAACTCTTATTCTGAGTTACAAAAATCAAGGTCTGGTTTAGTTATAAACATGATTCTTCATGTAATTTTTGCATAACTCTAGTAATGTTCAATGGCTGTAAGATTAGAACTGGTTCTTAAAAAAACACTAAAAACATAAAAATACTTAAAATACTTAGCCCCTGTATTTACCTGTAGAATATGTTCATTTATGCTTACATTCCAGGATTTGCTATATTACTTATAATTTTAAAGGTCACATCCAAAGGAGAAAGCAAACCACCTACAAACTGGCATTATTTGTTTATTTCTTGGCTTGTGAACGTCCTTAATTTGTTGATGTAGTAAACAAATTTCAACTCTGCTATACAAATGACAGAAGGAATCTGCTCAGCAATTAACTTTAAAGTTCAATTTCATACAGGTAACATGCTATATGTGGAAAAATGACTAACTGAACTACAGGTATTAAATACTGAAAAAATGAACAGTTTATTATAATTTATTCTATTTAACAATCTAGGAAGTTGGCAGCCATAAGCAGCTCCAGTGCAATTTCAGGTGCATTTGGGAATTCAGGAATCTCAGTGGAGCTGTTAGTGTAGCGGACCTTGTAGGTAAAATACATGCATACTTTCGATAGCACGTGCAAAGGGATATCTCTGAAATTGACCTCATTGGTTTCATTCTCAGCAAACTGCCCTGGTCCACTCAACATGGCCTTTATTGTTCCTGATGTTAACGCATGTTCTCTTTTTACAATAAATTCATGCCTATCAGAAGATATTAATTTGACATACATGGCGTCAGGGCCTTCACAGCCACCATAGGCTTTCTCCCCTCCATCCATTATGTTCTTATGAAATTCTACTTGATCCCACAGGAACTTTAGTAGCTTCCTGGCAAGGCGAAGACACAGTCTGCAAATAACTTGTGTCTGTAGGAAGTGCATTGTTGTTCTCCTCCACTGGACACTTTATGGGTTGAAAATGCCCAAGATCACCAGTAAATTACTTTCTTGAAAGTTTATTTCTTATTTGGCTTGAGAGAGAAAATTTTATCCAGGTTTTCCCTCTAACTCTCCAATTTTCATGATTCTGTCTCCAGTTCCTTTATTCTGTATTTCAGTGTTGATAATCCACCAAATCAAGTCCATATTCTTTCTGTTGTACACATTCCTGATAGACGGTCTTATCTACTTTCACAGTTTAAGTTTCATCTACACTTTGATAAACCCCAAATTCATATCACTTTCCTATCATGGGTTCATACTGTTCATTGTATGCTCCCATTTAGAAGTATCATAGATGCCTCAAGATCCAAATGCCCTCCAAACACACTCTCTCAAGATATTTACTCTCTTGGTGAGTGGAGCCTTCACCTTCCGAAGTTCAACAGAAATCTGGGTGCCATCCTCACTTCGTTCTTTAAAACTTACATCCCAACAGAGCTGAATCCTTTCAATCCTTTCTGTTTCTCACAATCATTTTTTTTTTTAGTTAGTTGTACTTCCAACCCTATGTCAGAGCAAGTTAGGTGTGAGAGCTGTTCTCCTTCAGTTCTGTCTATTTGCAGACACTTATTCTTTGTTTCATGGGAAAGGATATTTTCCTTTCCTCAAACTCAGTATGGCCATGGAGTCTTTCAATTCTAATAAGTGAGGATTTATGTATCAGGGTCCTTAGTGTCCCTGTCCCCCACCAGGTTCCTCAACAATTTGCCTGTCTATCTCCTTCATCAAGACATTAAGTCATTGGCTAAGAAGAGAAATACCTTTCTTGGATTTCCAGCGACACTGTTGCCATCAATCAATGCAACTCCAGAGGTGATAGTTTCTTCTCCGGTCAGCATTTTGAATGTAGTAGTTTTTCCAGCCCCATTTAATCCAAGCAATCCAAAGCACTCTGATCTCCTGACTGCAAGGGAGATATTTCTCACAGCCTTGACAACAGGACACTTAAAATAAATCTGAGAAAGTTAAAAAAAAACACAACAACTCACAATGTCTGAGACACTGGTTATGAACCACAGCTATTACCTCAGATTCCTAAAGCTAACAAACTGACAATCTCATAAGAGCACTTCCCTTCCAGCCCTCTGCAGAACTGCAGTGAACAAGCACTGCACTGGTCAATTCCAGGCAGGGATGCTTAAACTCCAAGGCAGCTAGCCAGGAAGTGACATTACCTTTGTAACTTCTTTAAGGACCAGTGGGGTTTTCTGTGACCTGAGCATCAGTGTGAGAACTTCCATTCTTTCTCTCCTTATGTCCTCATCCTCGTCTTCTTTGATTCCCTGGTTAGATATTTTCAAGACCAGGAGTACACATGAGGGCATTCTATAGAGAACTGGTTTAAATCAACAGCTTTAAGAAAGCTAACCTGCAGGTATAATCTCAAAGATATGAAGAAATACTTGAGCAGTTTCTAAGACCCTTTCTCCCTGTTTCCTAAACTCTCACATGCAAAAACATACTTCTGGTTGGGTCCATTTTAGAAGAATATGGCAGCCGAGGAGAGTCAAAGACACAATTCTCTGAAACTACTGTTATGAATATTTTGTAAGAGCCAGGGGCGGTGGATAACTACAAGGAAGCAGTTATTTCTGGACACAGTAGGGCAGGTGCACACAGGAACTCACAACAGTTGTGACAACATTCACAAGGCCCGAATAAACTTAATCCAGACAAAAACTCAGCATGGAGTGGGGGTGGGTGGGAACAAAATCCCAACCTAGCTGAGGAGCTTAAGGTAACTGATAGCTTCCAGGAGAGAGAATTCATTTTCTTTAAGGGTGTGACCCCAGGTAGGTTGTCCACGTTCCAAAGGAAGGCTACACATCCAAGAATATTTGGGCAGCACAAATTTGACCCAGTAAGCTTAAAAAATAAAAAGAGGACACAAAGTTGGGTGTGTATGGAATGAGGGCTGGATCTGGGAGGAGCTGGGGAAGGGGAGGGGATATCCTCAAAATACAATGTATAAAATTCTCAAAGAAAAAAGAGTTTCTACATTTAGAGTGAATACTATGTTCTTACTTGCATAAGGACAGTTATTTCAGTTGTAGCTAACCCATGAAAAATGACTTATTTCCTAGAGGGGTAAACCCAAGCTAAGATACTTACACCTCAAACAAGCCACTGACCTATTTTAGTGTAGTCAAGTAACACTTTCTTTAAAAAGTAATGGAAATGAGAAAATGTAAATTCCTGTTTTCTGACTGAATGTTGTGCTTTCTTTAAATTATATTTAAAGTCTAGTTAGTTACTTACTTGCCTGCCTTTTCTGAATTTATTGTAGAAATAAAAAATAATGTTACGAAAGACAAAGTTCCTCAGGTTCCAGGAAATAGTCTCCAGAGATAAAAGCAAGAGGAGAAAAACTAAACCCATGGTAGCCAGTGTGATCAGAAACTTCCCAATCCCACGCTCTCCAAAGCCATACACATTGTTCTGAGTATCTGAGGACACAAGAGAGACAGTCATCTTACTTTAAAAACCAGCACAGCATTGAAAACAGTGCCAACAGTAAGACATACAGGAAAGAAAAGATCTTTTCTCTTTGTTTTTTGTTTTTTTTTGTTTTTTTGTTTTTTTGAGACACTCATGTAACTGAGACTGGCCTTCAACCTGCTGTGTGGTTGAGGATGGTCTGAAATTCTTGACCTTCTTTCTATCCCAAGTCCTAGATTCATAGGTATGAACCTGCTTAAAAGAGTTTTAAGTTAGATTTAATAAGTATAAGATATAGCAAATAAGTAACTGTCTTGTTATTTTACTTGACCTTCTTGATGTGGTTATTTATAGTTGTTGATCTTTTGTTTTCCCTCTAGCTTTTTTGTTTTCTATTTTGGCACTGAGCATTGACCCAGGCAGGGACTCAGACATATAGCTAGTGCTCTACCACTAAGCTGCACCTGGGTGGCTGTCCTCCCCCACCAAGAGTAAAGATTAAACAAACAAACAAACAAAAAACAACCACAGACTCTTCTCTTTTCTCCCCTGAAAACTGAAATGACCACACATACATGTTTTAACTTGTGGACTCTCCTATTCTCTGAATCTCTCCACTCCACCCCTACTCCCAGGATCTTTTGTAGTCTAGGCTAGCCAGGAAATGATAATGCAGTCAGAGATGGCCCTTTCTTTTTTTTTTTTTTTTTTGGTTTTTCGAGACAGGGTTTCTCTGTGTAGCTTTGCGCCTTTCCTGGAACTCACTTGGTAGTCCAGGCTGGCCTCGAACTCACAGAGATCCGCCTGGCTCTGCCTCCCGAGTGCTGGGATTAAAGGCGTGCGCCACCACCGCCCGGCCCCTTTCTTAATGCTTTTAAGCACTGGTTTGTATTTCTCAATGTGGAATCTTTGGCTAAATTTATTCCCAATTATGCTAATTTTGATGTTAATATAAATGAAATTGTTTTATCTACTTTCAGAGTGTTTATTGCTAGTACACAGAACTATTTAGATTGCTTTTGTGTGTGTTGATCTTATATTCTGAAACTTTGTTAAATTTGTCCATTAGCTCAGTTTGAATATATCAACTGAATTTTCTGTCTATCAAATCATGCCAGGTTGGGTGTTCTACATATACTTGCTAGGTCCAGTTGGTTTAGGGTATTATTCATATCTTCTGTTTCCTTTTTGGAAAGCTTTTCTCATTGAGTACGAAGTGCTAATGCTAGGCATAATGGTGCAAGCCTTTAATCCCACACTTGAGAGGTAGAGGCAGGCAGATCTCTGTGAGTTCAATTGAGGCAAGCCTGGTCTACATAGTGAATTCCAGGACAGCCAGAACTACAAAGTGAGACCTTGTCTCAAAAACAAAACAAAATCCAAAATAAACAAACAAAAAATGTATGGAGCACTTAAAGCCTTCAGCTATTAGTATATAACTATCTTCCCTTTAGTTCTATATTTTGCTTAATATATTTTGGTGCTTTTTTGAATTTTAATATATTCTTGATGATGTGGCACCTTTATCTGGATAAAAATTTGCTTTTATACCTCATAAAATTTTGACCTAAGATCTACTTTGTTTTATATTAGTATAGTCAGTGAAGTTGTTTCAACTTTTATTTACACAGAATTCTTTCTTTTTCCATTTTTTTTTTTTTTTTCATTTTTCGAGACAGGGTTTCTCTGTGTAGCTTGCGCCTTTCCTGGGACTCGCTTGGTAGCCCAGGCTGGCCTCGAACTCACAGAGATCCGCCTGGCTCTGCCTCCCGAGTGCTGGGATTAAAGGCGTGCGCCACCACCGCCCGGCCCATTTTTATTTTTAACCTATTTATATCTTTGTATCTAAGGCTCTTAAAGACAGAATATACTTGAATATTTAAAAATAAATTCTGAATATGTATGCCTTTTATTAGAGAATTCAATTCATTTATGTGCAAAGTACTGATAGGGACTTGCATCTGTCATTTTTTCACTTGCCTTCTATGTCATATCCTTTTGGTTCTTCAGTTCTTCCATTTCTGCCTCATTTCCTATTGTTTTGTTGTTGTAGAACAGTTTGGTTAATTTATTATTTCTGTGTATGTTACTTTCTTAATGATCCCCATGAAGATTGTAACCATTATTTTGTTTGTTAGATTTTATTAAAAAATGATTTTCTTTTTTAAGAAAGGTTGAGAGAGAGAGAGAGAGAGAGAGAGAGAGAGAGAGAGAGAGAGAGAGAGAGAGAGAGAGAGAATGTGTGTGTGTACAGTTAAGTGGAGAGACCAGAAGTATGGGATTTATGTGAAGCTGAATAGAGAAAAAGGCAGCTGTGAGCTGTCCATTGTGGTTGCTTGGAATCACTGGGTCCTCTAGAGGAGCAGTGTGGACTCTTAACCACTGAGCATCCCTCAGGGCCCAGGCTGCAATTAACACAAACGTATGTGAAAAAGATTAGTTTGAATTAATATCAATTTATCTTCAGTAGTAAGTACACTGTGTTATCATAGCTTTATAAATCTCCCATCATGGCTGGGCATGGTAGGTCATGCCTGCAATCCCAACATTAGGGAGGTGGAAACAGGAGGATTAGAAGTTTGGGGTCATTCTTGTCTATACAGAGAGTTCATTGCCAGCCTGTGCTACATGATAATCTGCTGCAAAGAACCCAAAACAAAACAAACAAAAGCCTTAAAGCAGAGCAAAACCAAAACTATCCCTAATGGTATTGTTTTCATGAATTATAGTTTTAGATACTGTGTAGCCAATAATACAGATTTTAATTATTGTTATAGTACTAGTTCTCTAAAACACTTTTGGGGGGTGGGAAACAAGCAGTTTTAATCCAAAATGCAACAACACTTCGATGGTTTCGTGTGTGTGTGTGTGTGTGTGTGTGTGTGTGTGTGTGTGTGTGTGTGTGTTTTGTTTTGTTTTTGAGACAGGGTCTTTTTACATAGCCCTGGCTGTCTTGGAATGCACTATGTAGACCAGGCTGGCCTTGACCTCAAAAGATCCATCTGTCTCTGCCTCCTGAGTGCTGGGATTAAGGTGTGCACCACCTTGTCCAGCTTTTGTGTTGTTTTTTTAATAGCATCTTTATTTCATCACAAGGCTTCAATTTGTTATCTATAGCTTTTTCTTTCAGTTGATTTTCATTTAGTTTTTTTTTGGTGGAACACTATACTAGCATAAAATTTTCATTTATTTGCAAATATCTTAATTTCCCTTTCTTTATTGGAATAATGTTTTCTTTTCTGGATATAGACTATTTGGCAGTGGGGTTCTGGACTCTGAGACACAGACTTGCTATGGAGCACAGGTTGGCCTCAAACTTAGGACCCTCCTGCCTCAGCTTCCCAAGTGGTAGGATTAAGTGTGTGCCATCATAGCTGGCTGGCTATGGAAGTTTTGGTTTTTTTCCTCTATTCCTTTAAATAGGCCAGCCTTTGCTTTCTGGCCTCTATAGTTTCTAGTGAGAAATAAGTTGATACTTTTCTTGGGATCCTTTGAGACACATCACTTCTTGTGGCAGCCTTCATAATTTTTGTTTTGTCTTTGACATCAGATAATGTTATTGCAGTGTTTCTCCCTGTGGAATGCTGAGTTTATTCAGATCGGAGTCAAGGCGTTTTGATGAATTCATTCATGTATCTTAGAGTGTTTTGGGGTAGTCTTTGGCTGTTGTAAGTTCTACTTGTTTGTAATGCTCTATAAACTGTTGTATATTGGGAGTGGGTTCATGCGGGTCTGTGGAAAGAAGGCACAGAGCATTCTTTTTCTTTTTTCTTTTTCTTTGCCCCGAGACAGGGTTTCTCTGTGTAGCTTTGGAGCGTGTCCTGGAACTCACTCTGTAGACCAGTCTGGCCTTGAACTCACAGAGATCTGCCTGCCTCTGCTTCCTGAGCGCTGGGATTAAAGGCTTGCGCCACCACAGCCCAGCCCAGCTCAGAGCAGTCTCTCTGGACTGACTCATTCATAGCCTAGCAAAGGGCTTTTTATTGTTCTCCAATTTACATCTTTTAGCAAGTTAATTTCCATATCCCAAAACCTCTTATCTAAGCTCCCTAAAGGGACAATGCCAAATGTAAATCTTCAGTTAAGGAACACTGTGGTTTTCTGATCATTCCTTACCCAAGTTTTCATAGGCTTTGCAACTTCAGAAAATTGTCAGACAAGATTCACATAGAAGGTACTGGGAGACAAAAGGTAGCAATCACAAAAGGCAGATCCAAGCTAGGTGTTAACACTTAGGAATCAAACCAGCTGCAGCTCTGCAGGAATTCTCCCAACAATAAACTATTTTTGAAAAAAAAATTAACCTTTATTGTGTTTGGTCACTGAATATTCCATTACCTTAGTTATCAGATATTGATTTGACAGTATAGTCTCAAATGTTTGGGGACAATAAAAAAGGAGGAAAAAACCCCTAGCCTGTTAAAATTGGTTGTGGGTTGAAGTCATTCTTCTAATACTTAACCAATCTTTCCCTAATTCTTCTCTAGTTCTTTATTTTTTGCTTAAAGCAAACTTATCTCATAATCTAATCAAAGTAAGATTACTTCGGTTCCAACTCTGGATCTTTGTGGGACTTTCTCATTTTATAAGTATGGCCTTAACAAATTATCTTACATTCCTGTTGTAGCATTGCAGCTCAGATGGAGAGTCGGGAGCCAAGGAACACCACAAAGTCACTATATGCTGCAAGTATTGCATCTTATAGCCCTGCTCCAGGGAAAGGTTTCCCCAATTGCAAGTGTAACAGCTCTGCTCTGTCAGGGGAGGGTTTCCCGGGGAAGTTGTTACAGCTCTGCTCTGCTCTGGAGAAGCATTACAGTTCTAAGTGTTACAACTGCTCCACCAGGGAAAGTTTCTTCAGTTCTGCTCAGCTCTACTCCGATCCTCCACTCTGCTTTGGTGAAAGGTATTACAGCTGGGCTCTGACAAAAATGTCAGAACTGCACACTAAACCTCACTAAAGAGATTTATTGTGTATGAAGAATCTAGGAAGATGGCTGCCTCAGGT